CCAAAGCAGCATTTTTTTTACTTTGCCGTTCTGTAAATTTTTATCATCATCTATGGAAATATTTTTTCATTGGTTTGTGTGCATACAGTGAAATCTACATTTAATGACATATTTACCAATAAAATCTAATCTTTCCAAGCCTAGACATGAGCTACTCTTTTGTGAGTACAGTGAAACCAATTATTTTGCGGTACAGGGGAACCAGTTTATCATTGTCACTACACAAGCTTCTATTTCCTGTTTAGCTGACTGGTATAACAGGTGGCTGCATAGTGGAGAGACATGGATGGGAAAGAACAGACAGGCAAGCAGTGCAAATTAACTTTTATTTTCTTAGCACTGAAGCAAAAGATTCAGATTTAAAGAGCAGGAGTAAATGAAAACTCCTCAGCAATTCTCCTCTATTTGTTCCACATTCATCATCAAGCCAGGGACAGCTCCAGCTTTTTTGCCACCCCAAGTGGCGAAAAAAAAAGAAAAAGTTGATTGAGCCGCCGCCGAAAGCGGAGCGATTGACCTGCCGTCGAAGTGCCGCCGAGGACTAGAAGTGGAGCGATTGAGTTGCTGCCGAAGTGCCGCCGAAGAAGAGAGGGACCGAAGGACCTGCCACCAAATTGCCACTGCAGACTGGGACGTGCCACCCCAGTAACATACGGAGTGCTGCCCCAGGCACCTGGTTCCTTCATTGGTGCCTGGAGCCGGCCCTGCATCAGGCAAAACTATTATTTTATTTTCTAGATATGGTGCTTTCCTAGCACTTGCCTTGTTCTTTTATATACTGTAGCGGAACATTTCCAGTCACTGAAACAGACTGATCACATGCGTTTCGTGCAGGTGGGCCTGTCAGTAGGTGGGCTGTTAAAGCATTGCACTCAGCTTGGTTTCAAACAGGACACTGCCATCTTGAAATCTAACCTAATGCAAAAAATAAATTACAAAGGTACAACAGCTGCTCACGCAAAGCACCCTGCTAATTGGTGTCTTTTTATATCCACATTTGCCTATTTTTAAAAATGTATTTCTTTTTCCTGTTCCTCTGGGGAAAACCCATAAGTACAACCACAGGAAAAAAACAACCCACACATAGCTTTATCAATTGCACAAAGTAAATAAACTGAGAAAAGATAGAAACAATATTTTTACTTAGTCTCTCAGTTCTTCTAATCAGAGTGAATGTTTAGTTGTGTTTTAACCTGCATTGACTGACAGGACAGTAATTGCTAGCACACAAACGTTTGTTTCTCATCATGTTTACCCCTAGGCTGCACAACTAGTAACAAATGTATGTCCTGGAAGCTGAAAGTCAGACAGAATTTACTTCAAAAGGCAGCCAGGGAGGGAATGAGGGAGGGAATTTTTGGATCAACCACTGTTTGGGACTGGGCCATCTTAAAGCCAGTTGGACCTGTAAGAGAGATTCACCCAGGTCTCATGAAGACGTTTCCCACCAATGTGAGCAAAGGACATAGTCTGAAAATCCTGGTTCTAATTACAGAGGAAAACCCCTCTGGAGTCCGATAAGTGTCTGAGCAATAGAAAAGCGCCAGGCATGGGTTAGTTATTCTATTTTTTTGCTCACCTTTCTGATTTGATGGATGAAAACAGAATGTTGCCCAGACACCATCACATTGGCTTAGGTGTACAGACTGAGCGGCAAGTTATTTGGTTTCCAGCCAAACTGAGGATACCACCATGCAAAGCCATACTTCTTCAGAGATGCCAAATCAGCAGATGATTTATTTTAAAGTAATGAGACAAACTTGATCCTGGAAAGAGGAGTCTCAGATACTTATTCAAAGCTGGGAATACACTGAGCCCCTTTTCTCTTCTATGGTGTAATGGCATAGGGCCATCATTAGGATAGATAGGTTAAGAATCAATGCAGTCTGTATCCTTAAGGCAAGTCAGCCTTATGTGAGACAACAGGTTCAAGTACTTGGAAACTATTGTGACATAATTAATGGTTAAGTAAGATCCCGTTGGTACTTTGCCCAGTATGTCCTCCCCTCTGGCTACAAAGCTGTACAGAGCTTGAATTCAGCTAGCCATTCACAAATGTTTGAGATTCCCTAGGGAAAGTTCTGTTTTGTTCTGGCTGTTCTTGGCTAATAGCATTTGTTTACGATAAATATTTAAGCCTTCTATAGGGGATCTCTCCAGAGGTAACAAAGCACCAAATACAGACCACCAACAGTCTAAGCCCTGGTCTACACTGGGGGGGGGGAAATCGATCTAAGTTACGCAATTTCAGCTACGTGAATAACGTAGCTGAAGTCGACGTACTTAGATCGACTTACCGTGGTGTTTGAGTCGACTGCTGCCGCTCCCCCGTCGACTCCACCTGCGCCTCTCATGGTGGTGGAGTACAGGAGTCAACGGGAGAGTGCTCGGGGATCGATTTATCGTGTGTGGACTAGACGCAATAAATCGATCCCCGCTGGATCGATCACTGCCCGCCGATCCAGCGGGTAGTGTAGACATACCCTTATAGGAGAACAGGCCATCCCAAACACACAGCCAGATATCATCGAAATATCTGCCACCAGGGCAGTCCTGTTAGGTAACTGGTGTTAAGGCTGTGGAAAAGAGGTGGAGTGGGTAATAGGTGCTAAAACAAGGCAAAAGCCCCAAATCCAGTCATCAAGACCAGACCAGTTGAAATAGATGACATATGCAGTGCACACTAAACTCGGGCTCTGACTCAGGTTTGAGCCCAAGCCCCAGTTCCATCCACACACAAATCAGTCTGACTCAGGTCAGCATGCACTCAGGACTCGGGTCCTAGGACCTTACTAGGGGGGTTGGTCAGAGCTTGAGTCTGTACCCAAGTCAGAAGGTCTGTGTAGTGCAGCATGGATGCATTAGCATGGCTGTGAGACATGGGTCCAGCAATTGGAAGCCTAAGTTTACAAGACAGTGTGGACACTCAAGCACGGGTTTGGAAACAGAGATTCCACAGACCTAGGTATGCCTTCCCTGGGAGGGAGTTGTATACCTCAGGATCCTCTATTGAATGAGACCCACTGCTGGTCCTGAACAGACTTAAGAACTCATTGCAGAGTTACCTCATCTGAATAACCGCCAGGCAATGAAATGTAGGATAATAAAGCACTGAAGTATCTTGGGCCCTAGAGGTTTATAGGATGCTGAGATTAGGAAAACATGCAGTGTTTTAAGACTGTGTCTAGATTTAAAAGTCTAGTGTAGACCAGGCAGTGTATATTTTAATCATATGCTTAGCTGAGCAAGATAAATCTACACATTCTAAAAACACACCTTTAAATCCTAATCTAGACAAAGTTTTAGCAATGCATTTTAACTATCAGTATGTTAAACAGCACCTCCCAACTAATATCAAAAGGGCAGTCATGTTGAAAAAAAAGAGTTGGCTGGTTGTGATCAAACCTAGGCTCCCTGCTAAAACACAGTCTATTCTCCAAGTCCAGACACAGCTTAAGACTCTGAACTGTAGCCTTTGCTGCAGTAGCAGTTAGCGTAATTTTTGCTTATGACTGTTGTATTGATTTTGATAGAATAAATGGGCCCAGAGAGTCCATGACCATGTCATTGTACAACTTTAAATAGTTCAGCAAGGCTCAAGGTTTTGAGTACAGACATCTTGGCCTGCTTAATATTATGGCAAAACTCACTAAAAAATCCATGCCAAACTTTGGCAATGTATTGATCAGGATACACAGGACACACAAGGCAAGGGGTGATGAGCAGAATAGTCCATCCTCACATTATTTTATTCACCAATCAGGCTTAATTTATGATTTTTGGTCCACTGATTTCCAGTTTCCCACTCCTTTGTTTACCAGGCACAATCTCAGCACAGTCCATGAGTTATATCAGTAGCCCTTTTTGTTTGGGCTAATTCAGTCTGTGTCCATGTTCATACCTTTTCCCATCACTGTTCATTGTTATGTAGTGTTCCAATCACCTATAAACCGTTAGCTGCCTTTCCACAGTTAGACGCACAATTGGGACAGGCCAGCGATCTCCCATTATTACAGCAGGGGACACACAGCAGATCCGATCCCAAACAAACAGACACATTTGGCTACTTCTGCAGCCTCCAGAATGGCCTGAGAGCACTAGTTAACCCTGTGACAAAGGTGCAGAGGACCAAGGTGGAGGGCCAAGTTACTGGATAAGCCAGACACTGATAGCCACTTTTGATCACTGCAAGCAAGGTAGGGCAGCCTCTGCACCCATCTTACCAAACACAGCCATACTCCAGGCTCACACAATCTCTTCCTTCCTCTCCTTCAGTCTTAATGAGCCGAGCTTTCCAACCTCTCAGCCACATGAAAATATCAGCTGAATCATCAGATAGTCCATAATGGGGCAAAGAGGAGGTGCAGCTCTGACACACGAATAGGTAGAACACTGCACACTGGCAGACGTGACTGCAGCCAAGAGGGGTAAAACCAGATAAAGAAACATTAAGAAAATCATTCACTGAAAGCAAGTGAAATGCCATGGGGCTGAGGTCTAGAATCAAGATGCTCAGGGCATGAAAAACAATTTTTTGTCCAGGAGGAAATCAGCAAGCAGCTCTAAAAGGGAGCATGAAAACTCCAGCAAGTAGGTGCAGGATGAAACTAGTGCAGTCAGAGCTAGTCTGTCTAGGCTGTTTTATACCCTTCATTGAGCATCAGCTTTCTAAGGAATACAGCATGCAGAGCTGGCTTGAGAGTCTACTTTTATTAGGTGTTGGAGTAAAAATGGACTTAGCAGGCTGGTTTGATTTAACTGTGTTGGAAATTATAAGTAGGGTGACCAGATAGCAAATGTGAAAAATCAGGACAGAGGGGAGTCTTATATAAGACAAAGCCCCTAATTTTGAGACATCTGGTCACCCTAATTATAAGCAAGCAGTTCCCAAACTTGCCTTCTGTATTTATCTGCTCTCACACTGAGCAGAGGTGCCTGCTGTCTGAACACTGCATTAATTCTGTATTCTGGGTTCTTTTGTTTTTACCAACTCGTTTCAGGCAGGAGTATCGTCCATGGACTGGAGCCAAGCCGTCAAAGCCCATAAAGACAAAGCAAGGCTTCATTATTCCAGAAGATCATTTTGTGCAAGAGACTAGCTACAGGGCAGATTTTAAGGTAATTATACTTTTTTACAAACCCTGGAGGCCTTTTGAAGAGACCCCAAAGAAAATTCCATACCCCTTACATATTACCAATGCATTGTGGTTAGAAACCAAACCATGACTTGAGCAAATGCTCTTCCCTCAATACACATCAGTCACCTCTTGTTTTCAGAGAGACCTGGCAGAGGGTCTTCATAACTTTTAATTCAATGCTAAGGACAAGATTTTAAACTACATAGGAGTCAGGAAGTTCAAAATTATGGTTCCCACAGTAATCTTGACTCAGACATCTTCTTGGTCCGAAGTATTGTGTTACTGTATACAATCAATTTAATACCATCTGTACATGTGCAGTGTAGTCAAATTATGCTAACAATGATGTTAATTGCGTTATCTGTTAATGTTAGGGGTTGCTGTGAAGCACATCTAACTTTGAACCTCCTGATTTGTGCATTTAAAATCTCAACCCTAACATTAACACTGCATTGTGTGCACAAACCTATGTTTGTAGGTATGCATGAGAGTGACTGTGGACACTGGGGCCACCACCAAATAAATAAATAAATAAATAGAACTGAGCATCTATCGACAGAGATAGAGACTTCAGTTTCCAGCAATATCAAGATACCTGTTCTAAGCAGGGAGTAAATATGCATAGAAGCTGGGATTCTAGAAGTGTTAGATTCCCTGAGCGTTTTCATCCTGTTTATAAGGCACTGTACTATGCTATATAACAAGCTTAAGCTTCCTTGCCGACAAAGCAATTCCAAGGGATGCTGAAAAACCTACAAGTAAATATTCTCTCTCTGTTCGGGACTTTTCCTAAGTCTCTCCTTAAATGTGCAAGGGAAACAGCATCCCACCAACTGAGAACGGATTACACATGAGCAATACCCTACCCTGCAGCCTTCTGCAATGCTGTAGCTGCAAAGCTGGCCACAAGCTGCACCATCGACCTTGAACAGTAGGTGGACATGGTCTAACCGGGAAGACAGCCTCAACACTGCTGCAAGGCAAACCCAAGCCGTCAACTTCCCTCTCTCCCGTTTGCTCTGAGGGGTATAGGAAGGTTTCCTCTGGTATCTGTGGTGCGGCAAAATGGGAAGGACCAGTGATGCAGACTTATTAAAATGATACATTTTAAGGCTGGAATCCCTTCCATCTCACAGATGGGAGAAGATGAAGTTACTTTTTTCAAGTTCACCAAAAAGTCCTCCCTCCACGAAGCCTTGAGCTTAGAGAAGCCCCAACAACTAGAACTAGAATTAAAAGCCAAGGAGCTTGGAAAAAGAAATTTCAAACGTCAAAAATCTGCTCTGTGTTTTATTTCTGTAGGAAGCCTAGATCCATATTTCATCCATCGCTGTCGCATTCAAATACAACCAGCATTGGCCATAAACTTGAGACACTGGCCATACAGCAACAGCATGTAGAGAAATCTAAACCTGGCAGAGGTGGTAGGGGTGCCACGAAGCAGTGCGGCAGGGCTTACATCTATGTCTGCTCTTCTGCTGAGTCCCCTGGCACAGTGACATCTGATCATCTTAAACACAAAGTGGACCCAAGCAGATCTCTGTACGGCTCTCTCTCCCTTTCTGCCATTTGAGGAAGGGTTATTTGGGAAGCTAGGTGAAGAAATGGCTGTGCAACGTTGCAGAATCCAGCCCTGGCCACAGAATTGCTCTCCAACTTTGATTAAAAGTAAATAAATACATTTGTTTCTAGCCCTAATCATTGCAAAGAAAGCCTTCCAACTGTGAACCCAATTAAATAACTGCAGTGGGGTCTCCCTGGTGGTGACTGTCCCATTCATCGCCAGGGGATGTGAACTTAGAAATCAAATGGGGGCAATTTAAATGTCAACACTTAACCATTTCACTGCGGATTATTTTAACAGGAACATACAGCTAATGTGCTTATCCTTTAATCACAAATTGCCTTCTCCTTCCCCTTTCTGAGCCGCCTAAACTTCCAGCTTGCTTCAGACAATCCCTGCAGTGCAGTTATATGTTTGCAGTACAAAATTCTGTAGCACATTGAAAATGACAAATGTAGGAACAGCATAAAATTGAATTTAATATCAAGTCCACACAAGGGACACGGTACTACTTGCATTATTCATTTTCATATTTAATTCAAGAGCAGCCTCCAGCCCTTTAAAAACTTACTTGAAGCTGCCACTGAATCTCCAGTCTGTTGCACTGGGGTGCTGCAGAATGAACAGGCATTTCAGCAGAATTTAGGTCAAATTGGACATGGGAGTACAAGGAGCCTGGACTACAGAATCTGTCAAAATAGCAGGCACATGGTACCACAGGAAGCACTGTCATCACAAGGGGCTGTGCTATCAATGACTGAGGGGAAAAGAGAAGAAAGCATTACAGCTGAGCACCACAGACTGTTGATTTTCCCTAGCAAGAGAGAAGAGAAGAGAACAGTGCACAATACGAAGGCTAAGATTTTCAAAGCCACCTGGAGGATTTGGACTTCCAGTTTCCACTAATTAGCTGATTCCATATCCCGATCCTTGCTGAATTAGACCACCTCGTGCTTTGCTGAGAACCCGATTGAAGCTGAAACAATTTACCAACTCCCAAAACATTTCATGGGAAGTTGAGCAGGCTTGAAAAAGATCTCAGCCTAAAATGTCAAATAAAGTTGTGTTAGCGTCAGTCCTGTTCTCAGCAAAGTACAAAGTGTTTCAATACAGCCAAACTTTTTTTTGGAAGGGAGAAGCAATGTCTGGGATGTGGTATCAGCAGTAGGACTCAAAGAGATTAAAGAAGAGCGAAAACAAGTGGATGTGGAATCCACAAAGAACTCTCCAAATGAATATCAGAGTAGTTTGCCTTGTTTGAGCCTTTCATAAACCAGTTAAAACTCATGGTGTGTTTGAATATTAAACTTTGGCCACAGCTTGTGTGATCCTCACCAGACATTATTACAAGAGTTGACATTCTTATGGAATGCAAAGATAAAGGGTCATAAGTTGCTAAACTGGAGAATTCTGGGCCTGCTGAAAGAGGAAAGAGATGGACAGAGACAGCAGGATTGTAGAGGGGGGAAAAGACCAGTTAGAATCTCCCTGCCTGCAAGCATAGGTTATAATACTCAAACAGAGCACAGAGCTGACCAAAATGTTGCAGTGAAACAAAAAAGAACTTCCAGTGCTTCCACGTGACCTATGGATGCCACGGACTGCCGTAGGAGAGACCAGTTACAGACTCAAAACAGCACTTACTCCAGTCATAGGCGCCAACTGCATGGGTGCTCCAGGAAAAAAAATTAGTGGGTGCTTAACACCCACCAGCAGTCAACTTCCCTCTCCCCCAGTGCCTCTCGCCCGCCGCGGCTACGCTGATCAACTCCCTCTCCCCCCTCCCCAGCGCCTCCTGCCTCCTGCAATGAGCTGTTCCACAGCATGCAGGAGGTGCTGGGAAGGAGGGGGAGGAGCGGGGCTGGGGCACACTCGGGGAAAGGGGTAGAGAAGGGGTGGGGGTGGGGCCTTGGGGAAAGGGGCAGAGCGAGGATGGGGTCGAGGGTGGAGCAGGAACAGGGTCAAGGGCAGAGCGGAGACGGGAAAAGGTGGGACAGGCTGGGGGCTTAGAGGAGGGGGAGGAGTGGGGGCAGGGCCTGGGACGGGGGGGGAGGGTGAGCACCCCCCAGGTAGAGGGGAAGTCAGCATCAATAACTTCAGTTATTGATCTGAGGCAAAGATAAAATCTGAAACACATATGCATAGAGAGAAACCACCAAAGGCACAAAATATTGGCAGTAATGGCCCTGTCTCCCAGAACAGCAGAGTACAGAGGCTTTTCTATCATACCCAGCAAAGCAAACAGCATTACTGTGAGGAAAGCAATAGGTTGGCATGAAGATGCTGCTTGGAAACAGCTAGATCAGACAGAGTGAAGATACATTTTGAAGTCACTCATGTTTACTCAGCCATAGAAGACCTTTAAAAACCATTCAGGCTTTTCCTTTTGCCCAAGCCCCGGCTTGGTTACACGTGTGTGATTCGGTAACATAAGAACAGCCATATGGGGTCAAACCAATGGGTACATCTAGTCTACTGGCTTGTGCCAGATGCTTCAGAAAGAATTAACAGAACAGGGCAATTATTGAGTGATTCATCCCATCATCCAGTCCCAGCTTCTGGCAGTCAGAGGCTTAGGGACACCCAGAGAATGGGGTTGCGTCCCTGACCATCTTGGCTAACAGTTATAGAATCATAGAAGATTAGGGTTGGAAGAGACCTCAGGAGTTCATCTAGTCCAATCCCCTGCTCAAAACAGGACCAACCCCAACTAAATCATTGATGGCCCTATCCTCCATGAACTTGTCTAGCTCCTTTTTGAACCCAGTTATACTTTTGACCTTCACAATATCTCCTAGCAATGAGTTCCACAAGTTGTTTTACAATAACCTGTACGTAGGATTTAGCTAGGGTTTTCCAGCTGTTGATCTCCACAGTGGCTTTGTTTGTGATATTATTCTGTTCACCAACATTTAAGACTCATCCCCAGAGGAATGCGGGGGGGAAAAAAAACAGATCAATAGCTAATTTCCTTTTTTCCATGTCCTGTTCTTATGGCCTTGCTCCTCTTCCTCACTCCTCCAGCAGTACTGTTAGAGTAATTAGGACCAAACAAAACTTACATAGCTGGTCTCAAGCATAACTATCTTCTGAAGCCTGGGCAGAAGACACAAGTAAAGACAATTCCATTTAAATTCAGTTAGTCTCTTATTATGCTAAGAGTCAGGCTCTTTAGCTACCCTGCGTCAGTAGGTACCATTTGTTCACCACAGTGCTACACTTAGGGTGAAATCCTGGCTCCAGTGAAGTCAATAGGAATTTTGCTCTGGAGTCATCTCTGCCATCTCTCTCACAGTCCCTACTCGAAGAGCATACAGAATATTCAGTATAGTTAACTTTTCTTCCTGAATGCTGCATGTGTGTGCCCAGATTGCAATACATACAGTACACTTGCTATTCCATAAAGCACTGAGCTCAGACATTTTTAGAGAGGTTTCTTGTTCGTGTCCTCCAAGCAGTTCAGACTTTGCACCATGCAGATCTCTCCTCCAGTCTCTTACTTTAATCAATCACTAGTCCCGTGGTGTCTTTGCCTTTATGTTTGTGTGAAACAAATGTTAGCAAGGATTTGTGAAAGGGTCAGCAGTTCACTCTGTGCACATTGACTGGGAATCCATTAGCAACCTGCCAGCAAGAATCACTCAAACATGCTTGTCTTGCTGTTGTAGACAGCGCCTCCAGTCCTACCTGCACCTTAACCTTTAACTGTGTTGAAGGACCCAGTTACAACGAAGCAGCCCATCCAAACTGTTCTGGTCTTGCAGTGTGGATCTGATTGAACGGATTTTTTACAGTGCCCTGGAACTGTGCTATAAAAATGGTTCAGTCTCATCTACAGTTCCAGACCAACCTGTATCGGGGACTATTGTATGACACCGTCCTCCGACGTGTTTTATTTTACAGTGGAGAGGAGACCAGAGACATTTGGGCCAAGAACCCACATGATTACTGTACCCAGAAGTGGTGCTAATGCATATTATTTCCCCCTTTAGATTCCAGAAGCGAAGACCAAGTTTTCCCCCAACCCTTCTGCGGTTTTCCAGGCTCCTTCCCGTATCCTCAACGTGTGAACTTGGATCCGGTTCACGTTCAGGCAGCTTAAATGTGGGTTGTTTGTAAAAACGTCCTGCTATGCAACTTTCATGCAGGGTGTTAAGATCAAAGAGACAATATCAAAAGCAGCTACAGTGAGTAATGATATATGCATAATATCTGTGAATACACAAATCGCAAAGCACTTGATTTGGAACTGGCAAAACAGACTGCAAGGGATGACCTAGTTTTTGTAGAACCAGGCTCATTACTATGCCAGCTGGTATCACATTAAGAGATTGACTTTGGGCAGTAAAGACAGTATTGCAGATAATGCCCCTACACTTAGCTGCATTGGGGGACGAAGGGGGGGGGGGAAATCACAAATGGAAATAACTAAAGCCAGTGCTATCTAACAGACCTGTCTACAGTAGGTCAGTGAAAGAGCTGGTGAATGACCCAAGCTGACTTTTGAACTTGTTTTTTTTTTTTTTAAGTTTGAAATAAACAAGCAAGCATCTCACACATACATTGAAATACTACACCAAATGGTGTAGCATCCGTGACTGGCATTGATTTCAGTGGTGTTTTAGAAGTCTTTTGGCATGATGATACTCTTTTTAAAAGAAAATCAGACAAAAAGTCACTGGGGCTTCATGGCTGAAAGCTGAATATTTCGAAGTTGGAAAGCCACCTTAGGTGGAGTTTGAATTTCTGAAGAATAAACAACAATAGCATGAGAGAGAATCAAGAAAGTCCTGTCAAACAACGCCTCAACTTGGCTCTTGGCTGACAGCAAACTCACTAGGTCAGCTCAGATAACTATTGTGGATTGTATGGGCCAGAAACTAAAATGTTTATGGATGTAATTTGTAATGGTCATGCTTACGGTGTATGTATATAGCGTACATGGATTTTGCATAATGGAATCTGAAGATTCTTTAATAAAAGGATATACTTAGACTTTTATTAAATGTTAACTCTTTGCTTATGCAAGATGAAAAATATATTGCCTTGAAAATCTTGAATTATTGCCTGTATATTGGTAATGCTAGTGCTAACAATAACCAGAGATGAATGTTACATGGATACTCTATTTTAAAAAAAAGTAGAATGTAAGTCATACCTTCATTTTTAAAGATGGACCATTTTAAATTTAATTATTCTAAAGATTACCTTTTTAAAAAGATAACTGATGCAGATTTAACTTTTACTCATTCTGTTTTAATAAACCATTTCCTATTGCTCGTTCATCTAGATTGTGATAAACTTAGCGTTTTTATCTAACGGGTTTATGCAATATAATTCATCTATTTCTAATTTAACATTTTTCCTAATTTTCTTCTGAAAATGTCACACAGAAAAAAGTTATAGTTTGTGTGTTAGAAATTTGTCTATTAGAATGAAAGGAATTGTTACCCTCAAACTTGAACAGTAATCAGTTATTCATTCATCTGTAATGAAAGTGACTTTGATAAAATGGGAAGTTACAGAAATTTTCTCTTAACCTTTTCCCAGCTCAAGTCAAAGGCTGGTTTAATGATCCTTTGGACTATACAAACACACTCACATTGCCAATCATCTCTGTAAAAGCGATTCTTGAACTGGGGGCTGGTGGACTATATTTGAAATTTACCTAGAAGGTACAATGCATTATATAGGGATTTAAGGGAGCCACTTCCATTAAAACTGGTACGATTGAGCCACTAAGACTCAACCATGAGTAAAGCTAATATGCCCATTAATGTGGGTTTCTTTGGGATGGGGGATGAAATTTCTTGCACTCTTCAGATTTTATGTTGGGACTTATTGTCTGATGAATTTGCAGTATTTAACATCAGTACTTGCAGAAAAAAAATCGATATTATATATTATTTATTTATTTATTTATTGGGGTGGGGGGAGAAGAGAGAGAATCATAATTTTTTCTGGAAACTGATTGAAATATTCCAAACTGCACTAAATGTTTTGCATGTTAAATGTTTCTAAGGGAAAAAAAATGTATAATCTGCTTGATTAATCTGTTTATAAAGTTTTTAACAGTTCAGTTCCAACAGTTCAGTTAATTTCACTCCTGGATTTTACTATTAGCAAAAAAACCCAACACATACTGCCTACCCAGTTTCTTTTCTTAATTTACTATATTTCTACAAAACAGTTGTAAACAAACTGGTAATACATGAAGCTTGTATTTTATCAAATGGACTGAAAGTTAATTTAATAAAATGTATTTTGGCTACTGGTTCTTTTTCTAATCTTAATTTTGATGTAAAACATAGCACTGCACATTGACCTTCAACAAAAAGATCTGTAACTATTTTTGTGTAGCTGTGTACTTAGACACACACTGGTCCAGAAGACAGTCACAGTAGGCTGTCTCCTAAATCACTCAAAACAAAGAGAGAAGTCCAAAATAATAGAACTGAGCTGCCTGCCTAGAACAACGACACTGAGTATTAGACTGGTTGAGAGAGGTGGAATCACTCAGTCGATGTTATCATTGTCTTTGGATGCTGCAGTTTATCAGACTGGGAAAGATTAAAAAAAATCCTGCACCACATCATCAGAACCCCTCAGAAATCCTCAAGGGGGAAAAAAAAAAAAAAAAGACCATCACAACTTACATGGGCAGTGGGAACAAAATCACCACTTTACAAGTCACCCAAGAGCAACCTCACTGAAGTAGCACTAAGGACAAAAGTTATAATTTCTAGTAAGCAATATTCAGACTTAATTCTCTGCCCTTTTTGTAACTGCATTGAGCTAAAAATTGATCAGATGATTGTATATTTGTTTAAAAAAAACAAACATACACCCTGGTTAGTTCAGACTCAAGTTCAATTATATTCAGGTAACATGTTCCCATGTAATTCAGTTGCTTTAGATACTTTATACCTCACAATATTTACTGGTGAATGAGCACTGGAATACTCGGCAGTTCAAACACTATGGGAATAGTAATAAGTTTAATTTTTTTGCCAGTTTTGATTACCTTGAAAATTAGTTTTGTTAATGCAAATGTTGCAGATGCAGAGTTCAAAGTCAGAAGATGCAGAAGTTAAGATCCCCTGATGTCTGTTAATCTGCCTACATTGGCCATGGATACTAGTTTATTGCAGATATTTAACACAGTTCTAAAAATACTGCATATGTACAGCAAGACCAAGTCCACATGCAGTAGGAACATCACTTCTGCATTTTTTGACTTCTTTTAACTATGCAACCTTTACATCTTATGTATCAAGTTTCTTTGAAAAAGGAGAGAGGTGAAAGTCCCACCAACTTGCTAAGAGGCACCACATTCACGTCAGCCATCTTAAGGTCCATATTGTTCCTCTCTGCACAGCTGCAGGCGATCTGGAGAGAGAGGGGAGAATTCAACCAGAGAGCAGTGGAGAGGCACCAGAATCCCTAGTCAGGGAAGTACTCAGGACCTGCAGAGTTTGGGGCGGAGGTGCGTGTGTGTGGCTCATGCCACTAGGAGAAGAACCCTGAACAGCCTCCGCTCCCCTCTCCCGATGGAACTATGTGTGGGAAAGTCCATGACTAGATCCTCATGGCTTTTTTCTCTCTCATGTCCTCTCCTAGGGCTATTTCTGCAGGAGGGCTCAATCTGGCTCAATGTCCCTAAGGTGCGTACACACTTAAATCAAACACTGACAAATGTTCCACCCCTCCACTCCCTAGGGTTGCCAAGTCTTCAGGATTAGCCTGGAGTCTCCAGGAATTAAAGATTAATCTTTAATTAAAGATTATGTCGTGATGAAACCGCCAGGAATCCATCCCACCAAAATTGACAACCCTACCACCTCCACAAATGAGAGAGCACACGCACAAGCAGTGAATCCTAGCATAGCATCTCAGGATCAATGCAATTCTTTCCTGTGCATTCCCAGCTGATTTTTAATCATAACAATCAACAGCCAACCAATTGTTTCTCAAGCTTAGATGCAGACCTAAGGCCGCTGGCAGAACTATTTACATGTTCCAAGGCTGCAGCATTTGTATACTAGGTGTGTTGGGTAACAATCCTTTTCAAAAAGGAAAAACATTGAGCTGCAGAATTCGTGGCAGTTTATGGGATTTTCCTCAAATCTACTGGTGATTGTTTCAGAAAATGACGTATGTGAACACAGGATTATCCCTGAGATTGGTTTGCAGCCTCGGCTACAGCTTTGACAGCCAGAGATTCCTGCTGATAGGGAGAGGGTAGAAGGGGGCCCAGCCAGGGCCACCCCTCTGCCAGAACCTTTCTGAACCCAGAATTGTGCAAGGAAAACACCCACCCCCCCACTCTGAGGGCACTAGGATCCAGGCAGCGCCCCCCACCACGTGCTTTTGGGGGAGAAGTGCAGAGAGGAGCCAGCCAGAAACTCCAGCTGGTAGGAATAGAAGCAGTGGGAGCTAGGACCTCTGGCCACGCTACACTGTTCTCTGCCCTTTGCTGCTTGCTCAACCCTCCTTCCTCTCTGCCTTTTTACCTCAGCTTCACTCCACAGCTGTCCTTCCTCCCTCGCTCTCTCCCCCTTACCTTCCCCTTTAGCAAATCCCCTAAGTAACACCCCTCCCCCCACTGCAAATAAATAAAATCACAAAACAAAAAGTTTGCCGCCACCACCACATTGTTCTCTCTACTTGTGTGTTCCACTCCTTCCCCCACCTGGTGTCTGTCCGGTCTAACTAGGCCATATTGTCTTCTTTCCTTGTACTATCCGGTCTGTCTGTATCCATCTATTGTCACTTAGACTGTCTGCCTTTTTGTTGCATTTGGGGTCCTGGCCTGTGGCTCCTAGCCACTGCGGTAATATAAATAATAGAAGATCTAGCCCTCTATCTCCCCGACCCACCCACCCACACATCCCAGCACCTTTTCCACACTAACTACAGAGTATCACATTCCCCGTAAGAAAAAAGCTGCTTAGTTTTACCTCACAGACCTTGTGGTCTCACCTGCATCATGAGAGCACACTACCACATGGGAATTTTACAGTGGTCATTGCTTTATAATGGCAGCCAACACCCCCAAACTCTTACATAGGACACACCCACACTGGAACAAGCTCTTGGATATTCTTCTGGGCCAGGCAGCATCCAGATCACAATGCACCTTTGAAAGGCCAAGCCTTTCCACTGAGCCCCAGAAGCATGCTGAAGGTCACCAAAATACAGCCTTACTGCATGCCCACAGAGGTACCCTGTGTGAGAGGGCCCCACGTCTTTAGAAAAAGCAGAGGAAAACTTAACAGGCACTTCCCAGCTGGAGAAGGGGAAATGCAGCCAGTAGTCCCTTGCAAAATGGCTGCTTTGAGACTAGAGTAGCTTGTCTCTGCCCAATTTAAAGGGCCAGCCCAAGAACAGCATGCTGGGAAAAAGTTCCTGTAAGAGGGAAAACTTTCACAGGGAGAACTAGTAGGGGGAGGGACTGCTTGTCTCTGTTCCCCTACTTGTCTTAGCAGGGTTCTTCCATGTGCACAGTCACTAATTGCTCTTGGGCTTTACACCTAAGCCCTACTCCACTGAATGGTACATTTTGCTTTGAAGCCATTTGAGGTTCCATGTTCTCACAGACAGCAGAAGCTAGGGCAGCAGTTGCTGGCTAAGGGTGGGTGTGGAGGGAGACTCCTCCCCCCAGAGCAGGGCACCTCATGGTGCTTAGAATTGCCATGCATACTGGTGCCTGTAGAACGAGCCGCTGTGAGTTACCACCCGCTCACAGCCTAAAGCATAATCAACAGCAGAGCTAGTGGGGGACTCTCTGGGGCATCCTTCCCACTTGAGGGACAGCCCACCAAGGAGGGGGAAAGCCAGGAGAAGAGAAAGAGGCTCTTTGAGAGGGGGTGGACAAAAGGGCAGAGGAAAGGGGGGAGCAAGGAGAGAGTGGCAAGGGGGACAAGGTGGAAGCAGGGGAGAGCAGGAGAGGATAAAGAGCGCTGTTTGTGAGAGGAATGATGCAGGGGAGAGGACAAAAGCGGGCAGCTGTGCTGGTGTTATACATTATGCCACAATATCCAGATTATAAAGTCTTTAACTATAAAACCAGTGATAGTCTTTTCTCTCTGTGAATCATATTGCAAGAGTGGTTTATTTGAGTCACACAATAGTATCCCTTAAAAACAGATTTTATAGTTATGATCTATTATAATCCATGTCCTATATAGCATAATATGCAAGGAGGGATAGCTCAGTGGTTTGAACATTGGCCTGCTAAACCCAGAGTTGTGAGTTCAATCCTTGAGGTGGCCACTTAGGGATCTGGGGCAAAATCAGTACTTGG